AAAAGACTGTATCACACATCCCAACCAATCTGTTCATTACAGAATGCTAAAAATAGGTTTCCCTGATCTTATCCAAGTAAATACACAAAAGGAATTTTCTATATTAAAAAATAGTGGGTGCAGCAACCAGATCCCTTCTTGCTGAGACTGTGGGAGCAAGCAATAGTAGGCATTGTAAACATGTGAGCAGATGCTAAAAGCAGCTGCATCTTTCCAAGGATTGTGCAAGAAGAAAAGCATTTTGTTTGAGATATTTCTGATAGATGCTATATGCATATGTACCAGAGGCACCTATTTTCCTTTCAATGTGAAGCATTGCACATTTCTGCTAAATTTACTGTGGAGAAATAGAAGAAAATTTCAAATGGAAGATGAAATTATCTGATCTCCTCATTAACACCAATGAAGAAGGGCAAGTAGAGGATAAGAGCCGTTTTTGGAAGCACTTTTGGCTGCTTTTCTTTGGCCAAAAACATAAGTGTCAGATCCATAAAAGTGATACTGCCATTCAATTGGGAAGAGGGGGGGGGGTTGGAGTTGATTTATTAGCAGTGCCTGTGATAACTGATATTTTACAACTGGTTTCCTGGTGCCGAAGTGTCCCTGGAGATTCCCTCACTTTTTGGGGAATGTTTATGATGGCCATGTTCACTTTAATGTCTAATGGAAGATAGCCATGGGAATGTATGTTTGTTTGGTTCTCAGGGCAGTTGGTATTAGAATATCTAAGATGTTTGATTAATTTTCAACAGGATAACTGGACTGAACTTATACATTTTGCGGAAGTGGCATTCAATAATTCTGTACACTCAAGTACTGGTTTTACCCCTTAGAGTAGCAACAGGCCAGGAGTTCAGCCCCATGCCTGAACTACCCACAGAAGACTCCACTATCCCCTCACTTAAGCAGTGGATAGACACTTTACGAAACACATGGCCAGTAGTTAGATTACCTTTAGAGGAAGCCAGAGCAGCTTTTAAAATTCAAGCTGACAAGAAAAGACTGGAACCCAAACCTTTCCATGTTGGAGATAGAGTATACTTATCTACAAAATTTCTGAAGTCATTACAGCCATCAAAGAAATTAGGGCCAAATTTCATTGGACCTTTCCCTATCACTAGGGTCATCAATCCAGTAACAGTAGAACTCTCCTTCCAAAGACACTCAGGCAAGCCCACTCAGTATTTCACATTAATTTACTCAAACGAGAAGTAATCTCATCACTCAGACCACCTGCATCTACATCACTGGTTCCCATCATGATAGAAGGTGAACAAAACTTTGAAATCATGAAATCCTTCACTCTAGGATCCATAGGTGGAAAACCCAATACTTAGTTGCTTGGAAGCATCTATCCTCATTCCAAAATGAATGGGTAGCTAAACACCATGTTAGGGCCCTAACAAATTTCACTCCCAATACCCTGACAAACCTTGTTAAAATACTATGATGGAATTTTTGTTTCTATCTTTTCAAAAGTAAATCTCTCCTTTTTCTAAGGAAGGCAGCATGTCAGATCCCTAAAAGTGATACTGCCATTCAACTGGGAGGAGTTGATTTATTAGTGGTGCCTGTGACAACTGATATTTTACAACTTGTTTCCTGGCGCCAAAGCACCTTGAGACCCCCTCACCTTTTGGGGAATGTTTATGATGGCCATGTGGGACGGTTCACTTTAATGTTTAATATAAGATAGCCATGGGAATGTATGTTTGTTTGGTTCTCAGGGCAGTTGGTAAAGGAAACATCTTCACACTTGTGTATTGGCTAAAATCTGCATTCTAACTAATGGAAGGGGTCTCTACTGCTTTAATTCTACTCACATTGCCTAAGGAGATTCAGACGTTGCTTTGAACTTAAGGGTTTCCTTTCTACTTAATAAAAACTTCCTTTTGAAATACTCCATTTCAAGAGTCTTCACTTTCTTAAGCTAGGAGAGGCAATCCTTACAATAAGTGCGATACAAGATGTCCTGAGAAAGAAAAAAAGAAAATAAGACCAAGGTAAGAAGTGGAACAAATCCTCTAAAGAAGATACAAATAAGATGGATGGATGAAATAATATATAGTTGGACCTGACATTAATTACCAAACATTTCATATCTGCCAGAGAGGATCTTTCATTTGCTTTGATTGGTCAGCAAAAAAGGGAATGTATTCCACTGGTAGAAAGCAGGTAAGTGCATAAGAACTTCTGATGGATAACAAACCAGTCTACTAAGATTTAGAGTTCAAGTTCTCATCTAAATATGAAATTTGGGACAGCCACATTTTTTATCCCTCTAGGGAAGAAAGTAGGGTGGACATAGCTTTTGGAGCGCTCAACAGTAGAGATAGAGATGCAATAAATAAATAAATTGCAAGCATAGATCAAGAAGCCAAGAGGATATTCCAAACATTAGAAACTATGTGATTGGGCTTGATAAATAGACACTTACAGCTTGAAAATAAATTAGTAGTTGCGATCAGCCTCTCCTTCCCCCCCCCTTCTCTCCCTCAGGGTTGCCCCACAGAAGCTCTCCTCTCCCCCTTCTTTACTTCAGCCTGGCCCCATTGATACTCTCCTATCCCCTTCTCTCCCTCAGGCTTGCCCCACTGAGACCTCTCCTATTTTATCCCCTTGTCTCTCTCAGTCTAACTCCTTAGCATAGGAGTATTTTTCAGGTGGGGAGAGGGAGTAGAATGTCTAAACTCCCAGCCCGGAAGCGGGATGAGTCATGCACTGGCCACACCTACACCCAAGTGGCAGTTGGAACAGAGTTCTTTTCAGGTGGGGAGGGGGAATAGAATACCTAACTCCTTAGCATCAAAGTGTGTTAATAATAATAATATAAGAAATACTAATGATCTAATGGTAATTTCAAAAAATCTTTTCTTAGCGAGCACCTAGAAACCAAGAGGAACATACATGGCAAGTTTGTAGTTTGTAGGCTTTATGGTTCTGGAGATTTTGTGATGATGCGTGAGTGGTATTGGGCTTTTATATATATAGATTATTGGGTAGCTAATCAATTAAAAAGGGATGTGGTGGCTCAGTAGCTAAGATGCTGAGTTTGTTGATTAGCAAGGTCAGCAGTTTGGCACTTCAAAACTCTAGCGCCCTGTAACAGAGTGAGCTCTTGTTACTTGTCCCAGCTTCTGTCAACCTAGCAGTTTGAAAGCATATAAAAATGCAAGTGGAAAAATAGGAAAAATAAAATTTGATGGGAAGGTAACAGCATTCCATGCGCCTTTGGCATTTACTCATGCAGGCCACATAACCACAGAATCATCTTCGGACAGCGCTGGCTCTTCGGCTTTGAAATGGAGATGAGCACCACCCCCTAGAGTCGGGAACAAGTAGCACATATGTGCAAGAGGAACCTTTACCTTTACCTCTTAATCAATTAAAGGTGGTCCCAGATATTATAGAAGCAACTAGAGATTTAATATGGAGGGATATGGAGTTGAAATAATTAAGGAAAATAGGTGATCTTATAGAAACATTGGTTTAAAAAAAATATTAAAAATGGCTAGGATGATTCAAAATCCCTTCTTAAAAAATTTGATAAAACTATGGAATAAATGGAGATACTGCCAGGAATTTCTCCTTTAACACTGGTGGTAGAAATGGAGAAATTCCCTAAGATTGGATTGAAAGAATGGATCAGTAAAATAAAAGAAAATCAGATATGTACATGGGAAGACTGGAAGAACAAGATAAAGAATATAACACAACTAAAGAACGTTTTAGCAGATATTAAATTAAATTGGTTGAATTTAATACAATTAGAGAAATGGATAAAAGTGGAAGAAAGATTCAAGAAGAAAGATAAGCAGTTAAAAAATTGAAATGATTATAAAAGAATGTGAGATGAATGAAGAATATATATGGGAAAATATATAGAATATTAACTGAATTAGAAGAGCAGGCAAAAGGTTTAAAATTAATTTGGGAATCAGATTTAGGAGAAATAAATGATAATGATTGAAAAATATTTGGAATAGAAGAATATATAAGAACATGTCAGAGTTAAGGAAAATGGATATAAAGTGATATGGAGGTGGTACCTAACACAACATAAATTAAATCAAATAGATGATAAATATAAAAATATTTGTTGGAGGTGCAAGAAAGAGGTTGGAACATATAAACGTATGTGGTGGGATTGTGAAAGTGCACAAAAAATATGAGATATGGCGTTTAGAGAAATTAGAGTACTTTTGAATGTAAATTTAGACATGTCACTAAAATTTCATTGCTGTTGCTGGTGGAAAAACAGGATATAAATGAATCAAAAAATGAATTGATTGGAAATTTGATAATGGCAGCTAGATTAGTGATAGCTAAACATTGGGACAAAATTGGGATATTCAAAGAAATGAGTTGTATAATGAAATTTGGAGTATGGCAACAAATGATAAATTAACAACGGAAATTAAATTTTAAAAAGGGGTGATCAAAGCAAACAATTATAATGAAATATGGGGATTTATAAAATCAGTGTTGGTGCAAGGCAAAGGGAATAAACCTACTCAAAAATATATGTTGTTTTGGAGGGGAAAAGGGCACAAATGGAATATATTGTATATCTTTTAGTTGTTAAAGATGAAGAAATATAAGGGGGAAGTGTCTCTGGGGGGTGGGATGCACTGTAATATTAGCTTTTTCTTTTTTCTTTCACTTTTTTGGATTTAATGTATATGTACTATGTTTGTATTATTTGCATTTAAAAAATAAAAAAATATTTAAAAAGAAGCCAAGAGGATATAAAATTTTAGGTGATTAACTAGTTATAGGTTAATTATGAAAAACAGCACACATACATAATTTGCATTTTGGTTAGTAAGATGTTTCATTTGCTTAATAGTATAAACCTTTTAGAACCATTAAGAGGAATGATTCAGAATTGCCAGAAAATATGAACTTAGGTTTTCATTAAACCTCCAATAAAGAAAGAAGAAGCGTAACAGAGCAGACAGACAATCATATTAAAAAGCATACAGGTTACCACCACATACCATTATTCACATGAATGGGGAAATGTCCTGTGAAAGAAAGAAAAAACCAATTAGACTATCAGGGATTTTTTTTAAGGGAAAAGGAAAAACAACTATTATTTTTCAAGTCAGTCACACAAGATGGTATGCTCAAGTGCATATTAATATATTCTGCAGTACTGATAGCTTACTTCTGCCTCAAAGCTAAAATTAATTAATTTCCAGGCAAATACAATATGGCAGAAAATCAAACTGTATTGAGTTTAATTTTTTCTTCAGTTTCATATTCCCATATTTATTTGTTTCATCTAACTCTCTATTGGAAAGAAACATTTTAAATTACCCAGTAAGATCTGCCTAAAATATATTTGATATAAAAAGCTTTGTCACTAAAAACTAAAAAAGAATCCTTATTATTTTATTTTTCTGGTTAATTCTACAGCTTCTAAGAAATAGGTAGATAAATCACTAAATGCAAATTACTGCATAGTTTTATAGGAAAAAGAACAGCAACACAGACAATTATAGCTTTCTGAATTTCCTATCAGTTATATTACCTTCTTCCATGTTCTGAATAACCTGGGAGCCACTGCCAGATGACGTCAGCATCCTGAACAGGATAGGATGGGCCTTGCTTAATGAAAAACATCTGCATCAAAAGAAAAATACAGAATTATCAATAATACTAGCGTAGCATTGGACTCCTTTAATCCTAGATTCAAGTCAATACATTGAATGGTACTATCTTCTTCTATTTTAATGTCCTCCAGAAATGTTGGGATTACAGCCCCAAAATTCTTATCCAGAGTCACCCTTGGAATACCTTAAACTGGCAATGTGCAAAATAAATTGCCATAAAACAGATATAAATTGTGTCTACTTGCTACTTTGAGTTATTTATAAAAATAATAAAGGTGATATATCAATTTAAAAAAACCATATACAATGGTGTAACAGTTTCAAAAGGGTGATCATCATCACACTTATGCAGAATCCCATAACCTATTTAATCTACATCCACATATAATCATATGAGTAAAGAATTTGCTTCCCAGTGATTGAGGGGGGAAATATTTCAAAAGCTATCCAGAAAAGAATAATTATCAAACATATCAAAATCATTTTTTTCACTTGCACATGGAGAAAGAAATGAGATGAGACAGCATACTGCACAGGACTGTATCTCCCTAGCTTCATAGGACACATGCTTGGAATTCACAAGAATCTTTGCACAAAGAGGCTGTTTCCAGAGTACTCCTAGGAACCTGTACACTATTCTTTCCAGAATTATAAATAAGCCTTCTCTGAGATTTCATCTGACACCAGACTTCATTCCAGTATTTGAGATTGTTAGCACAAAGCAATTGACATAGCTGAATAGGGTATAAGCTTTGACTATTATTTCCACTTAGCTATATGCCATTTTGTAGCTTTTCCCCACTATTGGATTAAATTTTAGCCTATCTTCTTTGAGTTGGCCAAAAATATTGCCATTCAAATTTTGTCCAAATTATTTCCTCCATTCTGGGCCTGGCTTTGTGCTAAACATTGTTATCCTCATTAGTTAGTGTGCTTATACACTTCTCCATTTGCCTCTCTTTCTCTCTGGTGTTGTCATCCATCTTTTCTATCAGCCTTGTAGCTTGAGAAAAATATGTAAAACTCAGGATTCTCTAACAAGGAAAACTAAAGCTGGTTTTTATTTACTCTGATACCATATCAGTCCTTAAACAAATCTATTTCTGCCTTCTATTTCTCTCTCCTCTTCCTAATGTTACTTTTGAAGATCATAGTATGTGATATTTTTTTAAAGTCTTCAGTTCAAAGTTGAAATTTGCTAGATTGCAACAAAGAAAACTATTAAAATTTACAAAGATGCTTGGGCATTTTTTAAATATTTCTCTAAGCCTGTCCCTACATTAATCACTTTGTAATATCATCATTTTTAGAATGTAGTATATTGGACAATTATGCTTTATGATCCCTGATGACACAACAAGATATTTATTTTATTTATATTTATATATACACACATACACACACACACACACACACACACACACATATGCACACACATACACACACACACACAGAGAGAGAGAGGGAGAGGGAGAGAGGGAGAAAGTATAATCCAGAGAAGACCAATAACCAGAAGGAAAATAACAGTGGTGGGGTTGAGCAATGACCAAAAGCATTGGGGTATGGTCAATCTTCTAAATACATCTGACATGTCAACACCAGAGGCTGGTCACTTGATACCCTTAAAAGAGCTAACAAATTTTAATACACTCTGTTGTCTACAAAAGAATTCTTGTCTAAGGTTTCAGGAAGGTAGGGTAGGGTAAGAGAGAAGAAGAGAAGAATGGTTATAGCAAGCTGGTTCCATATTGGGTTGAGATCTGATTAAGGCTATTTCTCTGTGGTCAAAGCTGGAGACTGGATTATAGGATGTGAAATTAAACTACAAAGGACCTATATCTTGTCTGAAATACATCATGCCTATTTTCTACCCAGGAGCTTGCAGTTCTACTTCTTTGACCATGTCCCAATGTACAATAAAAGGAAAATTTGCAACTTCAATTTCTAAATTTGGAAAAATATTTCTAAATATCTCAGAACACACTAAAACCTTAAGTAACAAACCGTGCTAATCCAAAATAAGCCAACTATACTGTAGTTTAACATAAACCCTGATAAAAACAATACAATAAGGCTTTATGTGACTGTTTGGTATTGTCTTAGCCTCGGTGGGTTGTAAGGCATAGTTTACAAAATTATATCGGATTTCACAAAGACTATAAAACCCCCTACAACTGAAGGAAGCAAGATTGGGAGAGACGATATTACTGAGTACGATCCTCATGTACGGAAGGGGCTGCTGCAATAAATTTTAACTCTCCAGAATACACTAAATCTATATTCTGTGCTGCGCTTATCGGTGGGCGAAAAGAAAGCGCAGATCCAGAACAGCAACGTTCAAATGTAGTTTTTCTCCACCCAGTATTTTTTTTCTTACATTGCGTAAATCGAAGGGCTCTAGGCCCACGCAGCGGGGTGTGTGTTTGTGTGTGTTGGTGTTTGCCATTAGGCAACGATTCGTTTTGCGATTCGATTGTACAAAGAAAACCACCGCCTTAGATCGCCTACAGTATTTGCCTAACCTAACGGAAGCGTATTCCGCTCCCGCCTTGTCACTCTTTTTTTTTTTTTCATTCCGGGAACAACCTAGCTTGTTGCAAAGGCAGGATCAGGGAAAGTGCCGAAGTTGCTATAAATCACTTACCTGCGCGACAGCATTTTGCTCCAGAGATCGCTAAAATACCCGGCTTTGGCGAAACCCCTGCTTTGGCCCTTTCTGCTGGAGCCGCACTGTATCACGAGTGCCGCCTGTCAACAACCACGCCTGGAACAGGAACTTGGCTCTCCCGGCTAGACTGGCTCAGTCTTTCCCATTCTTCAACAGGGCTTCGTGCTCTTCCCTCCTAACAGATATATTGACGCGCCACTTTGCTTAAAGGGTGTTGCGCTCGGTTCTTACTTGAATTTAGAACTCAGCTCTTGAATTCATTGATCAACTGCCTAATAATCTTTAATCGTGGGAAAACACTACTTGGAGGAGGGGGGAGAATAGGTCTTTTCCATCGATCGTGCTTCAGATATACAAGCCTTGGGGGGAGCTGTCGTCTTTGATTACTGGGTTCGGTTTCCTTTTTGCCGAACATTAGTCTTAAAAACTCATATTTCTCTCTCTGCCATGTACTGGAGAAACCACTAAGTAGGTAAAGTGAAGCTAGAAATAAGCTAGAGGGAGAAGGAAAAAATACTTCTATGAAATCTAAGAGCAATGTAAGCAATCTAACACAAAGGGTAGAAAAGAAAGAGATTGGAGGAGCAGGAGTCAGCTTTTATGTTTCATTCCCAAACGTGGGAGCTACTGGAAGATCAGAGAAAGAAAGTCTCAGAAAGATTCAAGAATGAACTGAGACACATTTGAGGGGAATCTATAACACTGACAGGAGCACCGAAAGATGAGTCCAACACTCACCATTCCAGCATTGAGCAAGTCAAGAAGAATTTCAAGTGCTGGCAAATGACCAAGCAGTGCCCAAAGAGAAGAACTTCTACCAGGACCTTGGAGAGAATTATAAAGGATAGGGGTTAAAATTGGTTCTTCATGAATAGGGACCATGAGTGAAAGTTGTCATAGCAAGAGTAAGGAGAAAAAGTCCAAAAAGAAACTGAGAGGAGCTAATGGCGACGATGACTTTAACTGATCCTCAAGTGAGTCTAACTGTAAGGATTGCCTCTCCTCCTAACTTAAGAACGTGAAGGCTCTTGAAATGAAGTATTTCAAAATGAAGGTTTTATTAAGCAGAAGTGACAGCAATGGATTCAAAACAGAATAAACATACATTCCCTGGCTATCTTCTGTTGGCTATCAAAGTAACAGAACCCACATGGCCATCCCTCCTATACATTCCCCAAGAGGTGAGAATAATAATAGCAATAACAGTAGACTTATATACCGCTTCATAGGCTTTCAGCCCTCTCTAAGCGGTTTACAGAGTCAGCATATTGCCCCCAACAACAATCCGGGTCCTCATTTTACCCACCTCGGAAGGATGGAAGGCTGAGTCAACCCTGAGCCGGTGAGATTAGCAATAGCAATAGCAATAGCAGTTAGACTTATATACCGCTTCATAGGCTTTCAGCCCTCTCTAAGCGGTTTACAGAGTCAGCATATTGCCCCCAACAACAATCCGGGTCCTCATTTTACCCACCTCGGAAGGATGGAAGGCTGAGTCAACCTTGAGCCGGTGAGATTAGCAATAGCAATAGCCATAGCAGTTAGACTTATATACCGCTTCATAGGCTTTCAGCCCTCTCTAAGCGGTTTACAGAGTCAGCATATTGCCCCCAACAACAATCCGGGTCCTCATTTTACCCACCTCGGAAGGATGGAAGGCTGAGTCAACCCTGAGCCGGTGAGATTTGAACCGCTGAACTGCTGATCTAGCAGTCAGCCTGCAGTGCTGCATTTAACCACTGCGCCACCTTGGCTCATAGAAGATCTCAGGGCACTTTGGCGCCAGTATACAAATTATAAAATACTAGTTCTTATAGGCAATACTAATGAATTGAATCCAAGCTCCTCCCCGCCCCTTCTCCCAATTGAATGGCAGTATCACTTTTAGGGATCTGACACTAACACTTGAAATCAGGTGACAACAACAAATAGGGTGGGTATAGACATAGTGATCTACATCTGACAGGACTTTTGCTGCTCAGGGGTATCAATAGTTGTATTAAAATATTTAATAGGTGCTACCATAACACAGCTACATGGTAGTTTATATAAAATTGCTGTGTAAGTGTTTCAACCTTCTGATCATTCCTGTCAGAAGTAGCACCATTAATAATACAAATTAAGGTTAGATAAATTAATTAAAATTAAGACTGTAACCCTTGTTTGGACTGATAGTTGCCCACCTAGGTTTGAGCTCCAATGTTGTTTGTTCTGATATTTCTGAGTCATGGTCTGATTTCAGACTGTTTGATTGGCTGGGTGTTGTCGCTGGGCTATAGTTAAGTACTGTCTGTGTGATGCAGATTAGGATTAGAGTTGTTATCTGGGTGCTTCTGAGTCATGGTCTGGTTTCAGCTTGTTTGATAATTTGAGTGGCTGGCTGTTGTTAGTGAGACATGATCCGATTTCTTGTGAGTTGATGGGTTATAATTTTGTTGCTGTGTAGTGGGGCGCCTGTTTGTTTATTTTAAATACTACCTTTGGGATAGTAGTTGATGCAGTTCTTTCATTCGCAGTGATTGGTAGACTGGGTTAATGTCAATGTGTCTTTTATTGACTTATTTGTGAAAAGCCAGGCTTCAAGGAATTCTCTTTCTCTCTTTGATTTCAACTGGGTAACCGTGGTCCCGGTTAAATCAGATTTGTGACCTTCTGAATCTTCATGGACTGACATGAGGGATAATGGGTCATGTCTTTTGATAGCCAGGAAGTGTTCATAGTTTGGTTGATAGCTTTCTTCCTGTTTGTCCAACATAGTTCTTTTCGCAGTTGCTGCACTGGATTTGGTATAGGATGCCTGATCTTTGTTTTGTTTTTGTCTGCCCTTTCAGTTTTGATAGGGTTTGTCTGAGAGTTGAAGTTGGTTTGTGGTCTACTACAAGGTCATGATGGTGTAGTCTTGCTGTCATTTCTGAGACATTCTGTATGTAGGGGATTGTGATTCATCTAGTCATTGTTATTCCTGTTGTAGTTATTGTATTGCTTTGAGGGTTGGTATTGTTTGCATGTAGGCATCTCTGGATGAGGTTTTGTGGGTATTTGTTTCTCTCGAAGACTTTCTATAGGTGTTTTTGTTCTGCTGATCTGGCCTCCGTGGTGTTACAATAGGATTCTGCTCTCCCAAACAATGTTCTGATGCAGCTTTGCTTATGTCATATTGGGTGGTTGCTGTGCAAGTTGAGGATTTGATCTGTATGTGTTGCCTTCCTGTACATAGATGTTAGAAGTTGGCCACTGGTGTTTCAAGGTCTTCCAGAAATGGTAGTTTGTTGTTATTCTCGGTTTCTGTTATAAATTAGATATCCGTGAAGATGTTGTTGATTATTTGGTAGGTTTGATTGACCTGATTGCACTTGATTATCACAAAAGTGTCATCAATGTAGTGTACCCATTGTTTGGGATTTATCTGTGAAAGTACAATTTATTCCATCTTTTGCATGATAACTTCTGAGACTAGGCCAGATATAGGAGATCCCATAGGCCAGCGATGGCGAAACTTTTTTGGCTTGCGTGCCATAAGTGGGAGTACAGGGGGGGTTGTGTGCGGGCGTGCTGCACCCGAAATGCAATGCGTGACCCCCAGTGCGCATATGCGCACTACAGGCGCGACCCCCATTTTTGCATGCTTTTTTCATCCTCCCAGGCTCCAGAGGCTTTATAGGAGCCTTGGGAGGGAGAAAACAGCCTCCCGCGCCCCGCCGCCCCCAGAAGCCCTCTGGAGGCTTCAGGGACTTTCAGGAGGCTTCCCTGAAGCCTCTAAAGCAGTCAAAATGACCCTCCAAGCAAACCGGAAGTGACTTCCGGTTTGCTCGGAGGATCGTTTTGAGCATTCCGAAGGCTTCAGGGACCTTCAGGAGGCTTCCCTGAAGCCTCAGGAGCAGTCAAAACGACCCTCTGTGAGAAGGAAGAGCCAATGTCGCGACAACACAACATGCAGTCTTGACAGTCAGAGACCGCCATTGACACTTTTGCCACTGGACAGTCCAATTGGACCTAAACCGTCCCATAGAGACGGTGAACAGGAAGACAAAGCCTTGCTGGTCTCAAGGACATTGCAAAGTCCCTGATTGACCCAAGGGAAGCACTTCAAGCCAGCGGCAAACAGGTAGCCCCCAGGCTGACGAAGTCGGAGGCGGCTCCAGAAGGAAGGAAGTGAAAGTGAGTCCATCAGGTGAGGTTTGTTTTTTTTCTATTCTGAGAAAGATTGCCCAAAGAAACTTTTTTAAAGATAAATTAGTCCTTTAAGTAAACGAATAAAGCGGTGAATTTAATTCTTATTGGACTGCCTTGGAAAGTTCTTGTTTTTTCTTGTAACGATATTTTGTGGTTTGAAGTGATCGTAAGTTTCCTGTTTCTCCGCTTGAAGTGAACGGATTGATTTTTTTCCTCTATTTTTTTGCCACCTTATTTTTTGGCTCGAATTAAAACCCTCTTTTTTTATTTTAACAAATTCTTCCTACCATTTGTTATTAAATTCCACCAAAGACAATTAAAGATCTTTGTTTTCCATAAGCTTGAGACAAGTATG